CGTTCTACGACACCCTAGAACCTGTACATGGGGGGTACTGTTTTACTCGGGAGACTTCGCTGAACACAAATATTAGTGATTCAAAACAGTAAAACATATCACAGTGATGATATTGTCAGTGAAAGTTACTTTTTTTGCATTTTTCACACACAAACAGCACTTTTACTGATGATATAATTGTTGCGATACGTTTTCCAGTTTTAAACACTAATATTTGTGTTCAGCGATGTCTCCCGAGTAAAACAGTACCCCCCATGTACAGGTTTTATAGCATTTTTGAAAGTTACAAAGTCAAATATATGGGTCAAATATTTTTACATTGAAAATGGCCAGGTTGGTTACGTTGCCTTTGAGAGCGTATGGTAGCCCAGGAATGAGAATTACCCCCATGATGGCATACCATTTGCAAAAGAAGACAACCCAAGGTATTGCAAATGGGGTATGTCCAGTCTTTTTTAGTAACCACTTGGTCACAAACACTGGCCAAAATTAGCGTCAATTTAGTTTTTTTACTTTTTTCACACACAAACAAATATGAATGCTTACTTTGGCCAGTGTTTTCGACTAAGTGGCTACTAAAAAAGACTGGACATACCCCATATTGAATACCCTGGGTTGTCTACTTTAAAAAAAATATGTACATGTGGGGTGTTATTCAGAGATTTATGACAGATAATAGTGTTACAATGTCACTATTGATAAATTTTAAAAATGTATGTTTTGAAACCGCAATATCCTACTTGTACCTATAGCCCTATAACATGCAAAAAAAAGCAAAAAAGCACGTAAACACTAGGTATTTTTAAACTCAGGACAAAATTTTGAATCTATTTAGCAGTTTTTTTCATTCGCTTTTGTAGATGAGTAAAAGATTTTTCAAGTAAAAGTCAAAAAACATGTATTTTTTTCAATTTTTCATCAGATTTTTGTATTTTTTTAAAATTAAAATACATGAGATTATATAAATAATGGTATGTAAAGAAAGCCCCTTTTGTCCTGAAAAAAACAATATATAATTTGTATGGGAACAGTAAATGAGAAAGCGGAAAATTACAGCCAAACACAAACACCACAAAAGTGTAAAAATATGCCTGGTCGCAAATGTACAACATCACAAAAACAGTCCAGTCCTTAAGGGGTTAAAGAGGCACTGTCATGGCCGAATCCAGTTGTTTTTTTTAACCTCCCTCCAGAATAATTTACATCTAATTGTCCCCCTAGTCACCCCCAAATGCTCCTAAGCCCCCCATATTACCTATTTTTTATCTCTATTTTGTGCCCAGACCAAGGTCATGGGCGCCGCCATCTTTGTGTGGGTAGATGAAGTCCCTGTGGGACATGTCATCTGCTCACACTAGATAGCACTGTGAAATTCCCGCGCATGCCCTGTTAAACACTTGGGCATTTGAACGGGAATTTCATCCATTCATTCATTCGTCAGAAAGACGAATGAATGAATAGAAATGTCAGACGAACAAACACTGAATATCTTTGTTTGGTTTATTACAAGGAGGGAGTTACCGGCGCACAGCTCCCTCCTTGTAACGTAAAAATAGAAGCGGCAGGGGGCAGTACTCCTTGCCACTTCCAAAGTCCCCCATGTCCTCCCTCACTCCATGGGGGGTCAATATGACACCCATAATAGCATAAGGGATACTGAAATCTCCCAAATGCCCCTACTCACTCTGCCACGAGTAGAGGCATGTCTACTAAACAGGCTGCTCACTGTTGTAAAAATAACCCTCCCCTTCCAACAAATGGCCCCATGGTGGGGCATCTATTAAATAGCAGGGGAGACCTATTGTCCTGGCCCCCCCACCCGTGAGCGGCGGGTGGGGGCCAAAAATTACAATAGGGGGGACCTATTGTCCTCCCCCCCGCCCCCCACCCATGAAATGCGGGTGGGGACCCTAAATTACAATATGGGGGGGACTTATTGTCCAGCTCCCACCCAGGAGCGGCGGGTAAGGGCCATAAATTACAATAGGGGGGAACCTACTGTCCTCCCCCCCCCCGGCCCCCACCCATGAGATACGTGTTGGATCCCTAAATTATAATAAGAGGGGGGACCTATTGTCCAGCCAACACTCATTAACGGCGGGTGGGGGCCCTAAATTACAATAAGGGGGGGACTTATTGTCCAGCTCCCACCCAGGAGCGGCGGGTAAGGGCCATAAATTACAATAGGGGGGAACCTACTGTTCTCCCCCCCTCCCGGCCCCCACCCATGAGATACCTATTGTCTTCCCCTGGGCCCCTCAAAGCCCTAAATTACCATAAAGTAGGGGGACCTATTGTGCTCCCCCTGGGCCCCCACTTGTAACAGATCACCTGGCACCCCAACTGGGCACCTCCGTGTTGGGAATAATATACTTTGCTTATATTTACCCAGGGTTTATGATATAGATGACTGGCTGGCCAGTCTGTTTAAAATTGGTTAACATGCCAGCTATTTGCAATAATGTATTTTAGCTATATCCAATGCTTAGTGAATATACCCCTAGACAATTAAGAGCTGTATAATATCATGTAACAAGTTTATATGCTGTAGAACATAAAGTCACAGGTGTTATATCCTGTATTCTTCTGTCTGTCTGCCTTATTTCCTGTTTTTATCTCTTTGATCATAACTGCATAGTAATGTGTAATTTAGAACTTAGTAGTAAATATCTTTAATTCATAGTGCGCATGCACATTAGTTTGAAGTGTGTAGTTATATATTGAAACTTAGCGTTGAGCAAGGTCCAAACATGAAGATACATCTGCAAGCTTGCTATAGGTTAGGATGTTATGATAAGATAGATGATTTTGTTAGGATTGGATGATTGGATAATGCTTGTAACGACCACCCCTGTTTCCTGCTGTACAAAACCTGTTACACAGCTCATTAAAAGGGAGAAGTTACTTTGAACCTTGCATTGTCTTGTCTTGTTCATTGGGGGCTCCTCACCAGCTGGTTTGGGGACAAGGAGAAATACAGAGAGTTGCAAATTGCTTAGAAGTCCATGGCAAGGGAAAATTCCTCACTATCGGTTTTCAACAGATGTTTCCTAGCTGACGCTGAGGACTGTAAGCACCGCACCGGACACCACAAGCACTGTAGCTTAGCTGGGATCTTGCCGTCTTCTTCCCACCCTGGACGAACCTCGGATATACAGGACCGTGTGGGAAAGACCTCTCCTACTCCAGAGAGCATAGCAGGAACCGCTCTTAGAAGAGCTAGTGATTAGAACCCAGGGGAGTATAAGGAGTATAGCAATCCCTAGTGTGAATATAGCAGTTCCCCTCCAATCACAAGACCAAGCTACATGTTGAGGGTTAAGCAGGAACTCAATTTTAATGGTGCAACACTGGCCTTTTATGACAATCCCCAAGCAAGATGTACGCCCAGATGGACCTTGTTGGGGACAGGGACACAAACTTACAAACCAATGATAACACGTTTACAATGTATGACACTCCCACATATGATACAATAAGCCTTCACCTTTAATTAGGAGATATTTGAGTCAAGCACTATACTAAACTCAATTATATCCAGAAACAAAAAACACAAATTTCTAAAAAGTACCCCAAAACACATAATATCCCCACATCCCCTGATAGTCCTGATCTGGGTGACCAACATATCCAAAAATCAGCCAGATGAGATAAGGGGTTCAGAAATTTTATGGAAGTCATATTTTTAACCGACCGCTGGCATGGTCCAATAGCCGAAAATAGTTCCATAGAATCGCGTCTAAGTGCCGCTGGAGAATGACCGGGAACCACAAGGTTTTCATGCCGAAAATAGTTCCAGGGCATTCGTGGCTAAGTCCCACCGAAGTCTATTTGTGGTTTTGGTCCATGCGAACAAGATGGCCGCCACCACGTAGTCGAATGGCACTTCAAATGGCTTCGGGAGTTCGAAGTGCTGCTTCGAAAGTTCAAATAATAACTGTCCAAAGTCATAATAAGTACAAATAGGGTTTTTTAAGCATTTGGGGTTAGGGTTGCTGTTCCCCTGTGGCTAGGGAGATGGTCCAGCTGTCTCCTCTCTTGGTATCTCTGGTTGCTGGTGGAGAGAGAGACTGTTTGTCTCCTCTCCCTGCAAGGTACACTACCGCTGGGGAGTGAGACCCGTTGTCTATACTCCCAGTAACTCCGGCTGTAGCTGCCCAGCATCCCTGTAGGGACGGAAGAGAGACCTCGGTTTCTCTTTTCCCTTTGTCCTTCATTTTTAAAGGACTAGTTCCCTACACGTCACTAGTTAATAGTAACCAATAACGAACTGTGGGCGTCTTCCCTACAGACTATCATCTAGATTTTGGTCAGTAGATGGCGCAATTACATCACCAAATATTCTTGTCAGGGGGTCCATTTACCTTTTTGTATAATGGGTTAACTGAATTTCGTTATGCGTTTGACGTAATTCTCATTATCTCTTATGGCTACTATACATCACAGAACCTGTCATCTTCAAAGGGTTTTCCCAGTCCGAGTGTCTGGCATATACCTTTAAATTTAGATTTCTGACACATCTTAAACTCTTTTTCACCTCTTCTTTCAATGGAACTAGTAATATTCCATTAATTTTACGTTCTAAAAAATCCCAACTAATTACTTAGTGTTATCTATCATTTGGTGTCTGATTTTCTTGTGTGAAACTGTAGTTAAGATTACACATATATGTCTATTACACATATTCCACTAACGTTAGTAATAATATGACATTTATTATATATGATTAATATAATAATAGTAACGTATATGTGGATATAGTGTGTGTATGTGTGTGTATATATATGTATATATGTAGTTCTAGCATTCAACCTCCCCCCCTCCTTTTGCTGTTAGACATCATGCCTTATCTCAGGTTTTATGTCTAATGCTTATGTAAGTCGCATTCCTTAGCTAGACGTGAATGGAGTAGAGTTACAGATAGAGAAATTTTGAGTCTGTCTTAGCATTCTGTTACAAAATGGAGTTGTAACGAAGCTCCAGTACTCCAACCAAGTACCTCTGTTGATGGATGCTCCTAGTGCTTCCCGAGGGCTCCAAGCACTTCTCCAGACACCATAAGCACTGCAGACCGAACCTCTCTTCCTGCAGAGAGCGGAGCTGGAACAAGCTCTTAAAAGAGCTTAGTGATTATAGCTAGGGGAGTATGTAAAGTATAGCAATCCCCTGGTGTAAATGCAGCCTTTCCCCCCCAATCATGAGATGAGGCTCTATGTTGAGGGAAGCGTTTACTTACCTTTCCTGCAGCTCCTGTCAGCTCCCTTCTCTCTCCTCCGGTCCGGTCAGCCCCACTGTAAGTCTCGCGATGTGACTGCGGCTCTTGCGAGACTTGCAGGGGAGCTGACCGGACCGGAGGAAAGAGAACGGAGCTGCAGGAAAGGTAAGTAAACGCTTCCTGCCAGCCCCCAACAGGACCGCTGGGCTTGTAATGAAAACTCATCTTATACTCGAGTATATACGGTAGATGATATTTGGTACTTGCTATATTATCCAAATTTCAAAATAATATACAAAATGTCTGTTGGAGATGTAATTTAGATAGTGGTACATATATACAAAAATTTTGTGGGGCTGTAATTGGTAAAATGATGGGTCCTCCTTTTTACTTAACCCCTAAGATCTCAATTTTGCATCTGGATCTACCCAAATGAAATAAACCTTTCCAAATGTTAATACAAATTTAAATTGCCAAGTCCTTTGTGACCAAATTAAGCATGGCCTTTCTGCCCAAAACCAGTTCCACAGAGCCTTATATCCTGGAGATAATTGGGAAATAATCCAATTATCGCCAAGGACAGAGGCAAAACTCCATTGAACACATGGCAGCAAAAGATAATAAAACACATAAAAACATATAACTGTGCAGCCATTGCACAAAACAGGTACATTCAACATATCCCCAGATAGCTCAGATCTGAGCGCACATTATTACTGAATGGCGCTCAGAGCACACATATACAGTTCAATTGCCATGGAGCCAAAGTCTTTACCATAGTCTTTCATTATATGAATGGGCTCCATGGCATAGCTATCTGCGGTATCACTGCTCAAACAGGGCAAGCACCAAATGACCCGGCTTTCGTGTCTTCACAGGGGAAAATCAAGCGTTTCAACATGGGGCCATAGTCTAAAGGCAGCAGGCGGGCAAACAGGCTCCTCCAATGCACAGTGGCGAGATTGGTCTCGTCACACCCCAGATAGCCCTTTTCTGGGGGACCAACATATGTAAAAATCATCTCATTCAGTTTAATGGTTAGGGAGATATGGGACTTTAAAGTTCGGTCTTTGTTCATGCGTTAAAAGTCCCGAAAGGCTTGCCATCCGTGTGTAACTTGACGTTTGCCAGAATCCCCATATGCTTCTGAGTCTTTCTACCGAACGGCAGGGTGTTCGGTAGTTTTGGCACGAATTTCTTGTACTATGGAGGTCTCAGTGGTGTTCGCCTACTCGAGTGTCCGATTTTAGTTCCAGACACTCAACGGCAAAACACCGCTGTTCGGGAGTTAAGATGGCCACAACCACATGTAAAAGTCCCGAAATGGCGGCCACCCAGGCACTTAAAGCGTTCGTGTGTGTAGCGGATGGCACTGGGCTGTCCTGAAAATTTCATGTGTTCACTGCATTCGTGTAAACTGCTGGTTTTATATGTGTTTAAATAAAGTGTATTCATCTGATTGTTCAGTAGAATCATTCGAATAAACTAAGGGAATGAAACTACCGAACAATCAGACCTCCCCTGTGTGGAGTGTGCCTCCAGTTACCCATTGCAACAATGTTGCGAACGGGTAATTAACAAGCTATGCAGTAGGTCCTTTGTCTCGGGGTGGCCGCCATTCGGGAAACAAACACATGGTGGCGGCCATTTTAAAACTCCCGAACAGCGGTGTTTTACCGTCGAGTGTCTGGAACCCAAATCGGACACTCGACTAGGCAAACACCGCTGAGACCTCCACAAGCCCGGTCCGTTCGGTTCCAAACTACCGAACGGCCCCTCGTTCAGTAGACAGAAACAACCGAACGAGGGGATTCATGTGAACCCTACCTGATCTCTGTAGCCTTAGCCGTTCGTGTAAATTATTCCCTTGTACTGGGACCGACCGCAGGGCCCCATCGCATGGAACCCAATTCGGCTGTTCTATCCAGCGCGGTCGGTCTTTTTAGTACCTCCATAAGTTTCCTGAACCCCTGGTCCGATCTGGGTGATTTTTGGATATGTTGCTCACCCAGATCAGGGCTACCAGGGGATGTGCCATTTAAGGGGGTACCCCTAGGTTTAGGGGTACATCCAGAAACTGGGGGAATTTGGGTACAGTATAAGGGAATTATGATGCAGGCTGAGGGGAGGAGATGTGTGGGAGGTTACTATTGTCGGATTGGGTACTGTACTAATTGATGAAAACCCCTCCCTTGCATGGGAGCATGCTATATAAGGCACTGTGGAATAAAGCTTTCAGTTCTGCTCCTGATGCTGTGTGTCGTCCAGTCATTGGGATTGCTGTGGGGATACTATTGGATTATTTTGCCTGTTGGAAACCTTGCCTGTGGATTTATAATTTGCTTGTTTCTGAGCCTCACTGGGATCATAAGCGGAGATAACCTGGGGAATATTGTATCTCCGCTACAGTGTGTTTCCCATGAAGACTGTATTCGCCGATCAGGGAGGTAAATTACAACATAATTAAGTAGCAGGTTGGTCCGGTGTTCGGTAGTTTGTTTCGTATGATGAATGCAGCGTTCCTACCGTCTCGGTCTCACAATTGAGCGAATGCTTTAAAAGTCCCGAACTGCTTTATAGAAAAATCCCCACGAAAGCCAGCAAGGACCTTCAAAATGTATCCAGCTTGATGTTCTTTTCTGAATAAATGATACATCCTTATAATCCAAGGTTTCTGTTCC